TAAAGTACAAGTGATTACCTTCAGTTATCAAAAGACAATTTTTTACTTTATCATACAGTTTGTAAGAGGAAAACTATAATTACTAAGGTAGAAAATTTTGAAAAGCTTCAGAGAGTACGTTTGGAGCTGAAGCTTGAAACGTCACCTTTTTAAAATTTGCCATTTTGATGATAGTTGCCAATAATTCACATGAGTTTTGTATCAACCTCTCAGTTAATCAACTGAAACTACCCTTCTTCATTAGCAATACCTGATATTTTACCCTTTATACCTTATCATCTGCATGCATTTTCCTTATACTATTCTCTATACATTTACTGAGGTGCTGACAAGGAGAATTTGTTTAACAATCAAGAGCTTCTTTGGTTGGTGATCATTTCCTTTATTCTCCTGACCTTAATGTTTGATTAAACAGCAATACTGAGAGAATAAATTAAATGCCAATCACTCTAAAGGGTTAAAGGGTTAGGTGTTTAAGAGGAAGGTATAGACAACATATTGCCCACAGATCAGAAAAGCAGACGAAAGTTATCTTATATGACTACAACTTCCACATACCTATCTGCATCAAGTGATTTTCAGTCCCTATCTCTCTTTTCCTTGCATTAAGCAAATCCTGTTTGTGAAATTAAAAAAGTTTATTAAGAACGTCAAGGCACTAAAAAAATAAAATATATTGGGTGGAGAATCGAGGGCGCAAAACCTCCAGGATTACACTTACCTGTGTGTGTTGTAGTTCCTGCTGTACATTTCTGAGATGTTCACTCATAGCATAGATTCTGTCAGCATGTTCATCGAGCTGCTCTTTGTAAGTTGTGATGTTCTTCTGGGTCTCAGTTACCTAAAGAAAATAAAAACAATGTACATGCATGAATCAAATATAATGTGGAAATGGTCTGATACTAGATTTCAAAGTAAATTTCCCCTCAGTTTTATAGATTTAGTTTTACACTGTTTCCATTTCAAAAGTTCAAGAGAGGAGGTAGCTTTACCACAGTTTGATTAATGAGAAAATTTGGCAAGGTGTTCTAGGGATCTAGCTTTGTAATAATTTAAAAAATTAATATGCATTACAAGGATAAAATCATAAAAAATCTCACTACTACCAAAATTATGGGCAAAAATTGATACAATCAGTGCATCAAGATTTCTCTTGGTAAGGTATGAGTTCATTTGATTTTAAACATTTGCAAACTAAGCTCAACGATGTTCATGGCGATCAGGACCCGGTTGTTCAAAGGCTTGTTAGCACTAACCTACCCGTATTGTGAAATTTTGATCCAGGTTTCTCTATTTCTCTGTTCAAAGGCCTTTTTAAGATAATTTTCCTTACTCTTTTTACAGCAGCCAATCATCAAATTGTAGACAAAAATGATTGATATGGATTTTCTTTCAAAGCTTTCAGACCTAAAATCAAATTTCACCCTAACCCTGGGTTATCTTAAACCAGCTTTGAACAATCCAGTCTGGGCTATCGAAGAAACTGTCACGTAAAACAAGTTAACAAGATCTTGAGGTCTATCTTATACCTGGCTATTAAGATTAACTAAATACGAAAACTTAACTTTCCCTAAAACTATTCATTTCTTGTATTAAGTATTTTACCTCACTTTCCAGCTGTTTATTCTCCAGATTTGCCACTGGCATCGCAATGCCTTCATCAAAGTTTAGTTCACTCACGATGTCCTCCATTTTGAACGAAAATATGCTATCAAAATATCAACAACCAGCGCTAAAATTACTCTATTTCCTTTTTTACATACACCTACACTTGTTTAGGGAACTTCTTATACCGCTTTACTTTCCCACAATCTTCCTTTGAACCCAGTGAACTGAAAATCCACTGATTCTGCTCGAGGGAAGTTGTTGTGGAAACGGCACAAACAATCTGCGCCAACAATGCCAAGAATCTTTCTCAGCGGCATCCTTTATCTCAAGCTCCCGGATGAAATCACTCATACCCAGTCTTTCCCTGTTATAAATACCCTTATAGCTTCGCTTTGCTGATAAACACGTGAGTAAAACTAAGCGAAACCCCTCTTATCAAACCCAAAGTTAAGAGGAAAATGAAAAAGAAAAGCAAAGGAACAAAAGTTCAAGGAAAGGTAAGACAGATCAAGAAAACAGATACCGACCAGGAGGCTGAATCAATCGCAGCTGTTGACGAAAACTCGGAAGAAGATCAAACGAGGAAGGAAAGCACTCAGATAATTGGAGAAAATGCCACCGAAACCGAGTTTAAGGACGATGACGATCGTCTTATTGCTGTAATAGACAAGAACCCAGTGAAACCTTCAAGCTGCGTGAATGATGATCAAGATGATGATGAAGATGCCCCCGTGGATGTATCTTGGAAAGCTGCCAAGGAGAGTGCGCTTCGCGAACGAACATTGGAGAGAGAGATCGTTCTCGATACTAAGCGAAAAGAAAAACAGATGAGAATTGAGAGAGAAGAAAAGCTACGCGAACAAAAGGAAAGGAAGCGAGCAAGAGAATATTCAAGATTACCAATGGAAATTCTGCAGAAGGTTGCCCGGCAACAAGAGTCAGAGGAAACCCTTAAATCACAAACAATTGAGAGTAGAAGTCATGTGACCTTTGACAATTCAAGTGAAGATGAGCAGGATGAGAGAGAAGAACAAAAAGAGGAACAAGGAGCAGTACAGGAAGAAACAGCTGGAATCAAAGTACTTGTCTTGCCAAGGGAGACAAAGAAACCAAAAAAAATCCAGCAATCTGCTAATTTATTTTTACAGGAACGTCTGTACGGTGACAGAGTTCAGCGCATTTCAGCTTCCAGAAGCTCAGATCTGATGAAAAAATCTCGCAACACCTTAGTTCCAGCACGGAATTTTTCAAAGAAATCTTGGTAGCACAGTAAATACATCACCATGTATGTTATCGTGAAAAATATATATGTGAAAATTCTGAGCATTTTCATTTTCCTTCACCAGGGCTCCTTATCCTCATAATAAAATTTTTTGTGGGTGTCTGAGTCATATGAACCATTCAGATTGGCTGAAAAAAATAGTTTGTTATAAACTGCAAGGTGGTTAAGGTAGGAAACTTGCTGTGGTGAATTCAGAGATGCTTCTGTTTTAAGCGTTAGCAACCCTGGTACATCTTAGTATTTTTTTTGCTGACGAAGCCCAAAAGTTTCTTCATAGTCCAATTTTGCTAAATATTTTGTATTTGGTGAAAATAGGGGAAATGGAGAGAAGTTGTTAGGTACATTAGACCTCACCCCCGCTTAGTATATAGAACCATTATTGAATGTTTTCTCTGCCACTGTATTTCTATAAAGGAATATTTTTGGATAATCTAGCTCTAAGGGAAACGTACAAAGATGATTGTTTGAAATACACAAGTACATGAATGAAATGTGCCAATTTTTATTTGTGTAACCACTGCTATAAAAATTTTATCCCTTAAATTCAAGTTTCATAGTATGCACTGAAGAACTCATCGCCATCAGTAATGTGGAATATATATTTGTTACAACATGGCCATCTCTGAAATGATATAACAATTTTTCCCAAAAGTGATATTGTGCAGTATCATGCAGTGCAGTTTGGCATATGAAGGGTCAAATAGATTTTTCAATGACTGGCTTGCACCACAACAGAAATTGAATGAGGATGATGACAATAACTATACTTCAGAAGAGGGACAGATTTTTTTAGGAGCAAGCCAACCTCTTCCATGTTTAGAGCACAAGCAGTACCTTCCAGTCCCTTCTGAGCAAAAAAATCAGCAGAAAAAAAATAATGATTTTTACATACCATGTAGAACTCTTGATGGATTCAAGTCTCATAATTTACTTACGCAACATTTTTGGTAGCCGTTAGCTACCATATTCTGATGTTTGCCAATAACCTTGGTTGCAGATATCAATAATAATATTAATAATAATGTTTTTTCTTATGGTCAAATATGCAGCAGTGACATCAGCTGTGCAAGTTACAAATACTGCAGAGCGGAGTAGAGTATCTTGAAGAAACTAGAAATTGGATTCTACTTACTAAGACTCCTTGGCTGTAATCAACAGACTTGAACTGGAATTTGAACAATAAATTTTGCAGAAATTTAGGTAGTCTATGTAGGGATTTTGTGGAAGAATGGCCAAAAAAAATAAAGATCGAAAGAGCGGTCTAATTGATTTGGAAAGTATCGTAATTCCTTTGAGTTCTTACCAAAGGTCTTGGCGAAGATCAAACTACTAGGCAGAATTCCTCTTCATCGAAAAAAAGAATGAAGAGGATCTAACATCTCATTAAAAATCATGTAAACAACGATGAAAACATTGCGATCTGATCCTTAAAATGATTTACTTCTTACATTATTTCAATGAGTACCATGGAACGTTGCAGTAGCCGATCGTAAATCTTTGACTTCTCTCACTGAAGAATTTTCCATTATCGTTTACTCGAAGAGAAATTTACCTGATCAAGACCACAATCACGCATATGCCAAATTTAATTATTGTTTGTGCCTAATGCATGCGATATGGATACAAACCGTTGTCAATTGGATATCATAAATACAGGCGAAAATTTTGAGGCCGCCATTAAAGAAAGTGGTTACCTCGGGTATTTAGGAAAGTAGTTTAACTTTTGCCAGGTGTTATAACTGACCGAAACGTTTTTACCAATCAGGTGTTTTCATTGAGAATTTAGATTTCGCTTTTGCGGGAGACTAAATTGCTAAATGTATTTTTTTCTTAGAGAAAAAACTTGTGTGTAGTATCGTGGACGAACTGAGCCAGTTTTATTTTTGCCACGTATAACACATTATACGTTTTGTGACACATATCTTAAGACTCGGATCTTTTCGCTGAGAATTTCGATTTGACATTCGCGGGAGGTCACGGTAGATAATTATTTTTAATTTGAGATGAAACCGATGGATGAGCAGAAAACAGTTTCACTCTTTCCCAATACAACACTTAATTTATTGCGTGCCACCTATCCTATCAATCAGGTGTTTTCGTTGAATCTTTTCAGTTTGGCATACGTACGTGAGAAGCGTAAAGATCAATATTTATTTGAGAGGAAACCTGTGTGTCGTACAGTGAACGCTCTCCACAAATAATAGCTTCACGAAAGAACTTCACCTGGGACGAATGCGGGAAGAGCAGGCAAACATGTCGACACAAGTGACGGACGTTTCAAATGTTAGTGAAGTAGAAGTTGAGGCAGAAATACAAATGTTGAGCGTTGGAGAACGACGAGAAACGTTACGTAGTTTCGTCCCTGGTATTGCTTCAAGTCGAGCTGCGGGTGCAGACTTCATCAGGATGAGAAGCAAAGGTAACCTGTTATAGTTTTTTAACAACCGAGGATCTGCTTTGTTTCATTTTTATTGTCACGACTAATTCTACACTTTCATGTCATGTAACTTGAAGAGTATAACATCTCAGTAACACCATCCATAAAAAACTGAGATTTAACATTTTGCCATACCGGGACACTGAGCCACCCAAGAGAATATTAGACTGATCTCAAATAGTTTAATTTGATAATACAGGTTACTTTCTTAACCTTCCATTGCAGAAGTGGCAATTTCGGAAAACTCAAATTGAACCACTCCTTTCTTAATCGAGATATCAACTAGAGGAAATTAAAAAGAATATTTCATGCTGTGCATTATGTCAAGGATTAAAATTTTCAAAAATAATTTCCGATACTAAAATCGAGGTAGTTGTTAGTAGTATCATTGATGTATACGTCAAACATTGTCATTTTAGAGAGATAAAAACACCACAATGTATTTTGCTTTTAAATGTCGACATCAAATTATATTTAAAGAGGTCAGTTTCATTTCCATGTTTGGCACGATAAGAGATTTCGTTGTCACTCGAAAGGATAAATGTTTAAACTGAATGTGCCTCCAGTCTTTTAAGATAAATAACAAAGGGAAATACTTCCTTAGAAAAAAATACTACCATGTTGTGCGAGTTGTATTTAACATTAAACATCTATGTGTTGTAATTCAATATCGTTCTGGGCAATTTTTTAATTCAAAAATCTTTTCTTGGCGTAAAAAGACTATCGTGATCGTAATATTCGTTTCAGGCGATTATAGGGCACAAGTTCATGTTGATAAATAATACATTAGAATCATCGAATGGTGCAACTTCCTTCAATAAACAAATTGAACCTGTTGATCAATAATTAATGCAAGCTCTTAAACTGTTCTCAATGATAACTCAAAGCGAGGAGAAGACATTAAGGTGTCAGTGTGTTTTGCGGCCTGAAAAAAATTAAGGAAGTGTATTTAAATTAAAAGAAGAAGATAACTTAACATTTATGCGAGAAAGCAGATCAAAAAACACTACAAGTCATGTTTGTTTTGCTCGATTCTTATATGTTTTTTTTTATTAATTAAACCCCACCCCTTAGTATACAGGGCGACGTTGGTCAGTTTTAGGAAGTTAGGTTATCAAGAGATGGGCTACAGACCAGTGCGACATACAATTAATATTAATTTATTCAAAATTGGTATTGACCATGGAAATAGACGTGTATTTTGTTTCGGGTCTTTTTTGTCAGTTGCAGATAATCTTGAATCACCATTTATGTCAATCCACAAAACTGTCGTCTTTTTGATTCTGAGTGTGTCTTCATTGGGAAAGACCGCTGGGCAACTTCCTTGTCGTACGACCAGGTCAGTACCAGACCATGCCCTAAAAGGTCACGTGATTTCATCACCAGAAGGAAAGCGGCTCGAGAGCTGTGTAGCTGTTTGTGACAGCATTGACAATTGTTTCAGTATTAACTATTACATCTCATCGAAGAAATGTGAGTTGAACAATAAAACGGCAAAGTGGTACGCCAACGATCTGAGAGTAACACCTGGAGCAGTCTACCTAGATATCTTGTCACGTGACTATACTCCGTGTGTCGATCGAAATCCGCCATGTTCTGCAGGAAAATGTGTCCCCATCCCTGGATCCTTAGCGACACGGTGTTTATGTGACGGAAATGCTGCTGCCTGTCATAATCAACGTAAGTCTTCGCCTAAAATGGAAGAAAATTGAGACGCAACCTTACATTAGACCTGATATTTAATGTGGATGGTGTTGTTTATGAGTAAAATCCTAGAATTATTTGAAATTTTTGGTGTAAAATTTGGTCTTGAAAGAAAGTACTGGAACTCGTTTTATGTGATTGACATAACTCCTCAGAAATCTTCTCTAGAGATGGAAAGGAAATTATATCCCCTCCTTGCAATCTCAATCATCTTTTTTTAATGTTTTCGAGCAGCCTGTATTTCCAAGCCATTAGGAATGGAAGATGGTTCAATAGCGGACAATCAACTCACAGCATCATCAACGCACCCCACAGTTCAGCTGGGCTGGGGTCGACTGCACGACACGCGAGGAAGCTGGTCTGCAAACACAGATTCTGGTACCCAGTGGTTCCAAGTGAGCTTTTTACCAAACGTGAAACGCATAACAGACATCGCAACTCAAGGAAATGGAAAGAGCTGGTGGTGGGTTAAAACATATTACGTCATGTACGGGAAGGGGGGAGAGCCCCTTAGAAATTATGAGGAAAATAATCAACGCGTGGTGAGTAATGTTTTGAATTATTAACAACAAGCTATATTCCAGGTCGCCTCGTGTCACCGCATTACCGAACCCGTTATTTTCACGCACTTAATTTCAGGTTTTTCAAGGAAATACTGACAAGGATGGTGTAGTGAAGAAAAAGATAAACAATCCCTTCGAGGCGGATTCTGTCCGGCTAACATCTCTGGGCTATTCTGGAAAGGTTGCTCTGCGAATTGAACTGTATGGTTGTGATGTAATTTAGAATTACGTTTAACTCAAACAACTGAGCGAATGCAATGAAGAAAAATGTCTAAATAAATTTTAAGTGGCAACGCACGATCCAAAAGACTTGTATATCGACCATGGTGTCAAAGACATATAACAATTCGTTGTTTCAGAGCTAATATATCTAACAGTTCCAGAACTTTAGTGTTTTTGCGATTCCCAGATGGCTTCCACATCTTTAGAGGAGTGTTTTGTAAGTCTGGTCAGTGCAGTGGTAATCACCTTTTAAGATTGGACATATACTAATAGACATGTTTATACTAAACTTAAATGCGTAGTATTCGAAGGAACACTTAGGAAAGTTTTAAGCATGTGCAAAGTAAAATTAGTTTAAACTTGAAATTATATTCCTTTGGGACACCGCATCTCGTCAAATTGTCTTCAACTTCAACGCACTATTTAAGGTTAGGGGCTTTAAACTTCTAAAGAGGAATTATTTCTTCATATATAAGCTATGTCTAATAGCTCTAACTGAAAAAAATTCGTCTTGGACAAAACTTTCCATTTTTCTTTACAACCAGTTGTCTTCATTGCACTCTTCTCACCAAAAGTCTTCCTTTGCACGAGATTGTTTTCCTAAAACTTAAATTAGATCTTCGTGGCGGCAGTTGTATCATCTTTACGATTTCTATTATCAGTTTGGCAGATGCCTTGTTCCTGTTCCATAAAATTTTAATTGTAGTCAATTTAGAAACAGTCAGATCTGTATCTGGGCGAGCCCATTTCAATACACTAGGTCTAACTGTTTTCTTTGGCCTTAGCCCTTGAAACCGGCAAATTGACGGATGTGCATGAAAATTGTGAGAGCTCGCAAATAAGTTTTAGGTTATCGATATAGTTCATTCTAGCCTTGCAGCATTTTACAGTGGTTGGATAAATTAAAAAAAAAAAAAGACTGAACATACGCACAAAAAAACATTGACTAACAGTGTTACTGACACGAAAATGAGAGGGTGGCTAATGATGTATCGCAAGAGATTTTATATCGCGATTTTCTTCACTGAAGCCGGAACTGTGTTACTTCACAAGTGAAGCTGCTTGAGGTAAGATGAATGTCATGCGCTCTTAAGTCATGTTATATAGGCGCACGCGGCTAAGTGTAACTGTAATGGAAAAAAGCTGGTTGTAATAATACTTCTTTCAAAGAAAGTGAAACAGTAACATAAAATGAGCTATTTATTTGGAGAGGAATCTTTCACTCTCCATGGACTGGGTTAGTAAGGACATGAATATTTCACACGTTATCCTGATAATGCGAAAGCAAGAAAGATTGTAGTGTCCATATGGTGTGAGTATGTCGTTGCAGGGAAGCAGGATCTAAAGTGCGCAGTCGCAGTCATAACGATGTGTATCTATTTACTACACTTAAATCAATTGACGCACCAGTTACAAAATATTGCGATTTAATTATGCCTTTCAAAGAAAGCGCAGATATCGTTGTTAGAGTGTTTAGCAAGCCTCATAAATGTCCCGGCCAAATCATCACCTAAGTCATAATTATTATTATTGTTTTTAAATATGATTGTGATCCACATTTAACTGGACCCAAAGCTTTGTAAGGATGGTGATCGAAACTTCTTTATTAATGCTTTTTGCAGAGTTTCTCCAAACATAAGACTGCATGTTAAATTTTTCACCATTTTCGTAATTTAAGGACGAAAATATTTTTGAATCTGACGCTACTTCTTCGGTGTTAAGAGACAGCAAAACAAATTTTCTTCATGATAATGAATCTATAGTCAAGAAATAATTAAGCAAATTCACTGTAACCGGTTTGCTCTGAGGGGGTACGAATCGTCAGCCCGTAGGACTCCAGACTTTAAGTGAAATCATTCTACCTTCGAGGCAAACAATAAAAACAAATATACTCGGGTAAAATTTTAACTATATGAATGAAACGTTCGCTGGAATATAAACAATTTTTTGGAAGTAAGCTGGTAAAGCATTCACTTCTATTCAGTCCTCCAAACATTTTCTTGTTTCAGTTCAACATAATAATAATTTTGACCCTCATCTAGAAATGTGTCAAAAAAAACTAATTTCAATCGTAAACAACTCTTGTTTAATTATTTTGCACCAAAGTCGATCATCACAACTGTAGGCAACAGTTTATTTTCAAACTATTGATAGATCTTGAATTGAAGTTTGAAATTCTATCCACAAATGACTTAATCTTGCTCACTGGATGCAGATTTTTAATTTTGCCATTTTTTTTTCTTTTTTTGCCGGAAGCAATTTAAATATGGAGACCGAGGGATAGCTATGTTTAATTTAAGTTTCATTTTATTAATTTGATCGTTTCGATATTTTTTCCGCGAACTTCTCGTCAATTTGCAAAACAGCATGCAGAGGTACCGGGAATTTAATTTTTTTAACTTTTCACCGTAAATGTCAGTTTGAATTGTTATTTTCTTATACAATACGAAACTCTCCCGTTACCTCAATCAAAACCCGTCAATCTTTCATAGTTTGAAGAAGTAACATTTAATAAAACCGCTCCACTTCTGTACACAAACGTATTGACAAGATACGAATTACGAACACTCACGCGGATAAATTTCTCTTGTTGTTGATAAGTAACAAGACTTCAACTCGCACAGCATCAAAACCACAAATGTCCTAAACATTATAAAATGAAGTTCACGAAAGGCTGAATATTGTCAGCTGAATTTTCACATTGCCGAGAAAAAAACATGCACACCAAGTCTTCAAAAACGGTGAGAGAGAACAAATATTGATTATTTTTCTGTTGCATGACTCTATCACTAACCCAGAACAAAAAGGCGATACATTGTTTGTAGCAAATTCTCGATTTTTTTTTTATTTGAAGTCGCCAGCTGAAACGGATAATTGCACGGTTTGGATTGCAATTACTGACATGCAATGTTCACAGCACCAAGGTTGAATTCATCAAAAGTGTTACAATCAGAAAAATTCAAATTAGTTTTTCGGAAAAGCTTCTCATGCCTGGAAATATCGTTAATGACATAGGTTCGACATGTGTACTGAATGGCTTTCATCTGTGGAACTCATGGAGCACAATTTATTCTTTTATGGATGTTATTGTTTGTACCTATGACACATTTCGTCCAAAATCTATTAAAATAATAACGAACGGAATAATTGAAAACAGTCCGGGCTTCAAAAAATCGTGTACCACTGGCAAATCTTTGTATGTTGTTCTCATGAGTACCGCAGAGTTGGATACAAAAAACATTTATGAAGACTAAAAATTTTCAACTTAAAACAGATTAAGATAGCAGAAACTGGTTCTCGAGGTATGATTTCAGTTTTTTTCATTTCTTTGCGCGCATTATCTACTTTGAAGAGCTTTTTATTCCAAAGGTCAACCTGTATATCACCAGAATGGAAACTTCTATGCTAACTGATCGAAATTTGTCCAAGGCATACCTGGATTTCCTTCAAAATTCTCTGGAAGCATCAGCACATAAAAAAGACTGCTACAGACTGTTACTATGTTCGATGAAAATCAAAAATTTTTAACTAATTCCTGTCTTCAAATGTCGTCCATAGCTCGCGGCATTAAGGGTAGCTCTTCAAAGCGGTGTCAATGCAATGCTTGCGTCTCCTTCCCGGGTTTTCTGAACATAAACTTTAAGGATCTTGTGAGTAACTTGCTAACAGCTGTGCTCAGTCTGCTAGAATATGAGTACCTACGCTTAGCCACTTAACAAATTTTATCCAATGTATCAATAATGCTCCTATTCATGTACGGGAATATTTTGCATCTATTCAAAAGCCATTACCTTTGAACAAAAGAATCGTCTAAACACGTTGGTAAAATTTTCCAATCTCCACGACTTTTCCCGATATGTACATATTTGATCGACCAGTAAATAAAGTGTTAGATTTTTATCTAAAACTCCATTGACCTTCACTAAAAGCAATAAATTTATACATGGTATAAATATACAAAAAATATCGGTGATGATGATAATAAACAATGAATGATGTCATTTATCAATTAATGTCTCAAATAATTATATTCCCTTTAACCGATATAATCTATTACAGAAGATGTCAGCGTTAGTCACTCTCCTGGTCCTTCTTACCATCCATTCCGCTGAGACATGTGACACTTTCAAACCAATCAAAAACTACGTGCTGACTGGTCACGTAATTAAAACCATCCGAGACGTCAACTTCGAGAAATGTACATATCGCTGTGAGCTTGAAGCCAAATGTTTCAGTATTAATCTTTACACAAAGACCAGCAAGTGTGAATTGAACCATGGCAGTAAGGAAATGTTTCCAAGTGATTTCAAGGAGGAACTGGATGCTCTTTATATTCATAATATCAGAAAGGACACCGGTGATCCGTGTAATGCGCTGTACTGCTTGCACGGCGGCTCTTGCAATCCGTTTCCACAGCCAAACTGCATGTGCCCCGTGGGATTCGTGGGATCGATCTGCCAAAACATTAGTAAGGACTGAATTATTCATTGATTTATAATTTTTAATAACACTTCTATATTAAATTTTAAGCATCGGCAAAACTTGTCAGCTCGCTAATACATTTTCCTGTAGCTTTATCCCTAGAGGCCATTGGAATCCAAGACGATGATATTATCTTTGACGATAAACTTACGTCCAGTACAGCCGCTGTTGGCCATGAAGCATGGCGGGGCAGGCTACATGGTAAGGGCAGCTGGAAACCAGTTTTAAGTGACTCGGACCCACGCTTCGAAATCGGCACTTTCAATCCAGCTGTGAACATAAGTTACATTGCAACTCAAGGAGCTCCTGATCAAGACTGCTGGCCAACTTCCTTCGCGTTGCGATACGAAACCGCTGGCCAATCAAAAGAATACCCCCAGGTAAGTAAGACAATTTCGAATTAGGAATTTATCGCATGCAGTTATCCAAAAAAGAAAAATTGTATTTATTTCTTTTTCAATTGTATAGCAAATCAAAGGTCTACCTCGATATAAGCGGTTACAGTGACCGCTAGTGCTATTACGGTAAGCGTCCACCAAATTAAGCAATTTTGACGAAAACATCCCAAGTCGCCAATTTAAATAGAAACTTAACCTGGGTTTGAGCGAGTCTGCAAAAAAACCTGCCTTCTGTACTCAAAAGTTGGTTAGATTGTATCATTTTCACAAAACCGAGAAACGCACGCGCAGTGTTATTAAGTGAGAGCGTGAAAACCTGATATTTCTTGAGTTTCAGAGGCAAATTTAAGTCGCACAGACAAAAGTGTTAGGGTTCCAAATCGACCTCATATTTATTTTCATTGAAAACCTTTCTACTTTCAGATCTTTGCAGGCAACATTGACAGAAATACAGTGATATATA